TTTGACGTAGCTGAGACGCTGAGTCGGGAAAGCTGCCACCGCCGGAGGTGGAAGCCGAGACCCCCCGTGCAGAGCCACCGCGTCCTTCTTTGAAGTCCTCCCGAATTTTCCGCGCGGGAGCGCCCGAGGCGCTAGCGGCGGCTGCGGGCGAAGCCGCGCTTTATGGCCCGCGCCCCCGCGCCGCTCCACAAAGGCCTGCGCAAGGCCTGCGTCTTCACTTCCAGTCCGTGTGAAAGAGAAAAAGATCAGTTTTCTATTAACTACCGTGCTTAAGATTAATATGATTTTCAATGAAATTGGTTCAAATTTTAATAAATTGCTGTCAGACTTTTCGCGAAAACTTCTAGCTTTTTCAAAAAAATTGAACATGTCCTTTCTTAAAGATCTATTTTAGACGTTACTTAACAAAAAACTCAATTTCAATATTGTACTATAGCAACGTTCATTTTTATGATTTTCGAAAGTACAGGGACAGGGTGGTGAAAGCAAAAAAGCACATAATTTTATGTTCCAGACAAGAGGAAAAATTAACTAAAAATAAGCAGCCATTTTTGAGAAAATAATTACCTACAGAATACGGAAAATTTTCTCATAAATTCGAAAAACTGTACATAGCCTTATTTGAAAACGTCTTTCAACAACAGATTTCTTTAAGAAAAAGCTCCAAATATTGTATTGTAATGTAATTGTATATTTTTGTGAAAATATACGTTTATAAATTGCATTACCTTCAAACAGGAAAACGCAAAGCTACAAATTTGTACTCGATATGTCTTAGAAGAGATTTCATTTAAGAGAAAAATCTTAAACTTTTGCACTTTTGCAATGCTAGTTTTTTTTCCAATATTCGAAACCTAGATTTGTCCGAAAACGCAACTATCGTCAGTTTCTTTACCGTCATTTGATACAAATGAGGAAAATGTTTAAAACATTTGAGCCCTTTTTGAGAAAATAATTCTTTAAGAATTGTCAATATTTCACGCAACATTAGGCAAAAATGATATACATTTTGAAAAATATGTTCACGGCTTCATTTAAAGACCTCTTTCTGAAGAACAAATTTCATGCATAAGAAAAATCTGTCTGTTCAATATTATAATTTTAGGGCACCTAAGCCATTTTGAAAAGTTTTGAAAAGTTCGAACATTCAGAGAATTTAACAAAACTCGGATTAGGCGTTCTTTGCTCAATACGATAAGCAATTTCAATTTAAAACATTGGAGCTATTTAAGAAAAAATCAAAACGCCCTAACAGCTTCATGTAAAGTTCCCCATCAATTAAAATATCCGTTTTCAACTCAAAGGTCCCTGACATTAGAGAGATTGGTCTGGTTATGTCAGCTGTGGTGAAAAACCTGCTCACGGTTTAGCATTGTCCACAGATGGATGAATATCTTATCTGTGTTCGCGGCAAACACGTGTCAGTCTACAATTAATAGATTTTTATTTATTAATATTATTTATTTACGTCAAAAACAGTTAAAAACTGTGTTAGACGCACTATGGGAGAAGTTAGTTTGATGTTACATTTATGTCCAGAAACAAAACAAGGGGCCATTTCAACATTTGCTCGAGGATCAGGGACACTGGATGAAAACCTGATCGAGAGTAGGATCATTGACCCAGAAATTGAAGTACAATACTTGTTACAGGTTTTTTACAGTCATACAATCCAAATGGTATATAATACATTAAATGTCATAGTTAAAATGAGTATTACTTTCCTTTTGGAATCTCGGTATAGTCTCTAATTGTATATAAACAGTTGTGCAGCAGAAAATATTTTACTTGGGACTTAAACTTTTGTATCGGATTTAATCGTTTAATGTCATTTGGCAAGGTGTTGTAAAATAATGTACATGTACTGTATGTGAATTGTTTGTAGTGAGCTGTTGATACTGTCATCTGATGAATATGATTACTATGTCGCGTGTTGTATTCAACGGCGTTTGCTGAAAATATATTCCCGCCCTTAAGTAAGTCATTTTTGACAAAAACACTGATTCATGTGTGAAGAGACAAGGTAATGGTAATATACCTATATTAATAAAGAGAGGTTTACAAGAATCACGTGGGTGAGATTTGCTTATTATTCGTACAATTCCTTTTTGTAATCTAAAAGTCTGGGAGCAATTAGATGTATTTCCCCAGAATATTATGACATATCTCAGGTGGGAATGAACATTCGCGAAATACATACAACGAGCAGTGTGGAGGCTGACTGAATTTGAAAGAATTCTGAAAGCGTACCATAAATACGTAATTTAGTGTTCAATTCATTTCATTGGACGTAAGGTTTGACTGAATTGAAAGACCTTAACATTTTGTTACCTTAACGTCAGTCAATGGCACACCGTTCATTTTCAGTGAAGTACAAAGCTGTTTATTTGAAATGGAAAACCGCATTGAAATAGTTTTCTTTTCACTAACTATTAATTTGTTATTACGGAACCAATTTGAAATGTACTATTTACGGTTTCTTTATTACAAAGAATATTCGTATCATCCGCAAAGAGAACTGTTCTTCCCTTTCTAATTGTCGAGGGCATATCGTTTACGTATAGTAGGAAGATAATACTGATTCTACTACTATGTAATAATTAGAAGAAGGAGAGATTCTACTGATATGTAATAATCTTAAAAGAAACCGAATATTTGTTCTGTCCGTGCCAAGGATTCGTTCAGTTTTTACCCAAATACTCGCGTCCACCGCGGCAAAAGTTTCCTAAAGGAAATCTGAAAATAGGTGCGCGTGACACGGCCCGAAGCGGCGCGCGGTTTATTTTGGGTCAAATATGAAGCCTCGCCTTCCGCCGCCGCTTCAGTTCTCGATTAATGTGGCGTTGAACTCGCGCGGGAAAAAGGAGCCGCGTACAAACGAGCGAATGACGCTTCCCTTCAGTGCCCAAGAACAAAAACGCCTCGGCTGCTCAATCAGCTCTATTCGGTTGGGTCTCCTTTTTCACCCCAAGTTCCCGCAAGGCTCTTCACGAATCAGATTTTTCAAGTTGCAAGTATTTCCATTCACGATTGAGTTCATTCGCTAGAGTTAATTTAGAGAATTACTAGAAACCACAATTGACTGTCATGTCTTAGAGTCTCGTCAGTACGACATATCGGAGCACAATTGTAGGATTAAGGCGCGTGAGTGAGATTATTGGATTTTGAACAAACTTCACATGCAAATCGCTTTATCTATTAATAAAGTAACATTCTATTTTTTTGGTATATTTGAAAGTTTGATTAGACTGAGGTTATAGGTCAACCTTATCTTGTTGGTAATTGTTAGCGACAATCATATTATGCATAGTGCAAGGTTTCCTGTTAGAAGAATTGATTGGTACTAGTTGAAGTAATTGTCCGCAACACAAAATGTGCCGTTGAAAGTGCCAATAATACAACATTCAACAATAAAAATATATTTTACAAATTTAACGTTTAGACAGTAGATAGTTTTATGTCATTTATCTTCGATGAGACCAGATTACAAAAGAATCAAATCAATTTTTATAATTCAATCTATGTGAAACCGACCTGTAAAATTTCCCCCGCCAGGGTCGCCTCTAGTAGTCGGCCATGACCTCACACATAACATTTGAAATTCGAGTTAAGAATAGTGGTACGTCATTACCAAACAAAAAGACGTCACAACTGTCCCAAAATATGATTGATTCATAGTTCCAGAAATAAACTGTTGTTATTCCGTTCATGCTTTGTTTTGTCGTTCCATAGCCTGTCCACCGAATTGGTCACATTTTACCGGTGCTGGGAAACACTTAACTCCGAGACAGCAAAGACCGTCTTTTGTTTTTGTGTATGTTTTGGTCAGACACAGTATTTCAGTTAAAACGAAGCAGTTGGCATAGGGTGCAAGAAATTAGTCTTTGGCAATGGCTCCGGCCTTACGTTTTTCGTGTTTTCGCGACAAAAAGACAAAGCCCTCGAGGTTAGACCCAAGACAATTCTAAAAACAAGGACAAGGCAGAAATACTCTTGTGTGTTTGCCACTGTGAGATTTAAAATTGAAACACAAAATTCGGATAATTTTACGCTTCCCAAGAAAAACGTACTTTTTTAAAACGTCATCCGACTTTGTCTTATGTATGTTTCACCAAATAAATATGTCGCAAACACAGATTTTTAATAAATAAAAATTTAAAAAATATTTATTCACATTAATTAAAAAATCTTCTTATTAATTGAAGATTTTACAATTTTTTACGAAAGTGCAATTAATTAAATAATAATAATAATAATAATAATAATAATAATAATAATAATAATAATAATAATATAATGAAAGTAATAAACAGAGAAAGATGAATTGGAGATGCCGATTGAACGAATTGGATAATACATCATACATTATTAGCTTTTATTACGTGACCAAAAATATTAATTAAGAAAGCTTTCACGATAAGCATAGAATAAGAAAGATTTGAAACTAAAAGTAATAGTGCTAAAGAATGCACGTGATGTTAACGAGAGCTTTTATTCTAAAAGAAACAATATTTTCGCGTTTCATTTCCCCTTCTTGTTTGAAATTTAAGAGAAGCCAATGGATTCGTGATTTTATTTCTTCTGTTTGTGCGCAGTGTGTAAATTTATTGTATTCCTAGAGTGAAGAAAAATCATTCGGATCCTGAGAAACAACAAGTGCCCACAAAAAATTAAAAATAATATATGCATCAGCAAACAATATTTCAATATTGTTTATTTAATTGAATATGTTCGTCTTATGATTAAATGTTGAAGGAAATATTATTTCATATGTATGAAATATTACTTATCTAGACTTGAAATAATTTGCAAAATGTATACAAAAACTGAATACCGTACCGCGATTTATAAAATCATGATAGCATTCATCATCTTCACATCATCTATTTGCTTCCCCGATGAATACTTAAAAATATAGTTTTCCGATACAGCATTCATAGCCTCTTTACAAAACTGTTTGGTTGCGATACATATACAAACAAAATAATATTCAGTAAAAAATGAGGAGGATGACCCCACTGGGCTCCTCAAAGGAAAATCAGAGTGAGGTGTTTAGGAGTTATTGCTGGTGGTTTGTGAAATGAGTGAGAGGCGTATGATGAGAGGATTGAATAGGAGTAACGGAGGCCGGAATCTGGACGGGATGCGGTTTAGATGACACTAATTGTTTTTTCCTAGTGCGAATGTCGGTTGAAAAGGGAGGTTACGAAACTTGTCGAAGGATCGTTGAAAATTCGCGTTTCTGTCAGGAATGAGGATTGAAGAAGAAAGGTCGCTCGCGCATTCGCTTGGCGTTGATCGGGAAAAAAGACGGCAACTCCCGACCCGAGCAGCCGGCCGCCAGAATTCTCCTCCGGGAAAAGGTGCGGTCGGAGCGGAAGTGGCGGGCGGCGCCTTATCAGCGCTCCCTACAAGAGCCGCGCTCCCCGCCCCGGACACTCACTGCCGCGCGCCGTCGCCATGAGGGCAGCCGTCGCGACCGCCGTATTGGCAGGTAAGCCACGCCGCGCCCACCGACATTTCGCTTTGCTACTCCCATTGCATAATTCTGCCAGTTGATGGCTTCAACCCTTTGCACATGGCACTCATTACGATTCATTCAAATTCGTCATAGATAGATCTTTAAATAATGTCATATACTACTTTTTCACAAATGAGTTGTTTTCCCATAATTTTGCTAACTAAGTATAGCCATTTTGTAAACAATTTGCTCCAAATATTTTCTTCAATTTTAAGGATAATGTTTACAAAAATACTGCGGGTCTAATTTTAAGAGAAGTTGTTGAATTTTTGAAAACTGCAAAAGTTACAAACAATGTGAGAAACTATATGCTGTTTAACAACACTAATTGAATATACGATTTGCCGTGTTAAGAATATGATTTTGTGAAATATTTTGTTATTTCATTAACTACCATACAAGTTGATTTGAAAATTTTAGACACAATATTTAAAAAATGACAGACATTTAAAGCTACCCACGATTAAAGGAAACGAGGGTGATTGAAGAACAATCTGCATAGCTGAGTAATTCTCTTGAGGAAGTGTACTACAGAAAATATACTTAAAGAAATATTTATTATCAATATCTCTGCAGATCTTAATCATAATATCAACTCAAAAATATTCAACAGCGAAGAGAAGTTTTTGCACTTCTCATTTAATAACGCATGTGTTTAAATTTGTCATCACTTAATACAAGAAAATACATTAACGTTTCTGTAAGTAATGTACCAAGAGAAGGTACTTGTTCCTGGCGCATGTGAGTGGCCCATTGATTCGACTCGACTAGCCCGGAATGCCAGTAGCTTTGAGCTGGCAGGAGGGCCCCAACCCAGGCACTGAATGGGGAGTTTGCCGTGAGGGTAAACTGCGTTCTGGCGGGATTCGGATACCTGCCTGGCGCCACACGTGTACATCGGATGGGGGGGAGGGGTAGAGTAAAATCGAAAAGATAAGGTGCCCACCCCAAGGACTTATGCCCTCTGGTAGAACCAGAAATCGCGTGGAGTAGTAGGTCACAGAGGGTCCATATTGTAAGTAATTTACCTCATCAAAATGATATGCGATTGTTTCGTTCAACTTAATTTATATCAATTTTCTATCTACGTTTTAAAGTTCCAAATCCTTTTAATATTTTTTTAAACTCTCACGAAAATTTAGTTTCAAGAGCTTTTTCTAGAACTTCCTCCGGAAGCAAGATGCGTGGCAAGATAACGGCAGAGCGGGCAACAGCGGCGATCCTGACCGCAGGAGGTTACCACTCAAACAGGAAGTGGAACGGCCGCCGGCACATGTGTGAAAGAAGGGAGTGGAGTCACAAAAGCCTCTCAGTGATAAAGACCAGGGCTTTCAGCAGCAAATGCTGTTCAGCAGTACTGAGCCACAATTTAAAAAGGCGTTTAAAACATATCATCCCCCAGAAATATGAAAAGGAATGAAAACAATAAAAACTTAATGAGTTCATTTTTGTAGACATCACTAATATGAGACAGTTGTTAGGGATTTAAATAATATAGCTGTCATGATTATTACATGAAAGTATCGTTTTACCCAGACCAAATAAAAAGGTATAAAATAATTGTTAATTGCCATTTTTTAACAGAGTGAACATTATAACGAACTTCCAAATATTGATAGTTTGAATGCAGAATACCAGGTAGCGACTTTGCTTTCCCAGATAACACGTGTATGAAATGTTTACCTAAAAATATTTCTTCTTCACTCACTAAAACAATACCCGTTTGTACTAATGTCGTACTAATGTCTCTCAGTAAAAGGTTCATTCAAGGTCAACTGCTGTTGTTCGGACGATTGAGAACAAAGAATGTTAACATGTTAAACCATTCACAAATGCGGAAACATGACTCTGTACGTCTGTTCTAACCACTGAACTCTGCACTGGATCATAGAGTACTGTCAGACACAGAATAAGAATCAAAAGAATCGCAGCGTTATGAGGGGCAGTGAAGGAAACTGTTAGCTGAAAACTTGATATTTTTCCACGAATAAAATGTGTGTAATATGTAATTATATTTTTTTGATACTTTAAGTTATCACGTCTTTAAGTTAATAATCGAATAAGACATTTAGCATCTTTGTAAATTTTAAGGTTTGCAAGGTTTGTTATTGTAAGGACAGCAATTAAGATAATCAAAATGTTTGGGACATTTTATGAAATGGACACATTTGGTAGTATTGTATAGTATTGGATACAAATGTTGGAAGAGTCATTCTTAAGTTTGAATTTAGCTTATTATAACCACAATATTCTTTAAATAAAACGTGTATAAATTTATTTTATTTACTTAATGAGAGTATAGAACAAACTAAACAATGTTTGTGAATTACTCTAAATGTATTCAGGATTTTCTCTCGAAATTCCCAAATTTGTTAAACAAAAGGCATTACAAATGAATTAACTTTTCATACGTTTAATCTGTAAATGATTTTATATGATCCAAGGAAACGATTCACGAATCAGAAAGGAGATGAGTATAGTAAACAAGTTATGACTTTTTCAAGAACCCTAAATTTAAGTAATTTTTAATTTACAGTGCTTGCGACATTAGCATCGTGCAGATCGCCCCCAAAATGCAACTGCCAGTGCAACTTGAAGTACGATCCTGTATGTGCTGTTGATTCAAAAGGAATAGAAGAAACATATCCGAATAAATGTTCTTTTGAATGCTTTAAGTGTACATTCAGTAAAAGTAAGATATTTCGAATCATGATAAAATTAAGCAGACAAAATTGTGTTTCAACTAATAATGGATTTCTCCATGTGACAGCGGATCTCGTGATACGAAAGCGAGGAGAATGCGCCCCTAGAAGACCTCCCAGTCGCAGCGAAAAGCGAAAGCCGGAAACACGACAGTCGAACGCTCTACGCACGACGCCCCCCAAGTGCAATTGCAATTGCCCGTTCATTAGCGCTCCTGTATGTGCTATCGACGCAAAAGGAGTCACAGAAACATATCCTAACCAATGCGTCTTCGACTGCTACAAATGCACACATGGAAAAGGTACTATTCTTGTAAATTAGTTGCCATTCATGTTCACATGAGGCGCAACTAATCAAAACGCATATTCTTCACACGTGGATAAAATTGAGTTTGATATGAAATCGCTTCTATGATACCTTCTACACGCTCCTGCTGTCATATTTCTTCAAAAAGCATTTTCATACATTCAATTAAATGTATTTTGAATAAATCTGAAATTAGGAGCGTGTAGAACATAAAAAAACTACATGCTTTCATATCAAACTCAATTTTATCCACGTGTGGACAATATGCGTTTTGATTCTCATACGTAGTATAAAGTACCAAATCCGTAATCTCTTCATTTTCCTGGGTAGACCTGCGCGTTCAGAGCCAAGGCGAGTGCCCCCCCAACCCACCGCCCAGACCAACGCCCGGAAGCCGCCAGAAACCAGACGCAGGGACAACTGGCCAGAAACCAGGGCGGAACGGCCAGTGCAATTGCAGGTGCACCTTCGAGTACAATCCCGTCTGCGCCGGGGACTCGAAAGGAGTCAAAGAGACTTATCCCACCGCGTGCGCCTTTGAATGCTACAAATGCACTCACGGGAAAGGTAACAAATATTCAATTCAGAAAGGTTGGCAGTACTGCCAATTTAAACATTAAAACTGGTCACTTTGTATATCCATTAACACGAAATGTGAACTTTTCTTTCTAGACTTGCAGATTCTCAATCGAGGAGAGTGCTCAGAAAACCCCCGTCCTAACCGCCCTTCACCAAATCAGACTGGGAAATGCAACTGCCAGTGTCCGCTGAATTATGACCCGGTTTGTGCTGCAGACTCAAGAGGAAATGAAGAAACCTACCCTAATGCATGTGCCTTTGAATGTTACAAATGCACTCACAGAAAAGGTAAACTATACGATGAACAAATAATGATTGTAATAATAATGATAATAATAATAATAATAATAATAATAATAATAATAGATACTATCGCGGGGTAGAATTGCATTTTTAAGAACTAAATATGGATATGGAAAACCGGGCTAATTACAATACTTTCACTTAAGAAGTAAATACGTATTCATCTCGCATTTTAGTATTCTTGGTAATGATGAATATTAAAATGTCATAAAAATCACTATCAAGAATTACGTAATATGTTGGTTAAACCAAGAGAATGCTAAAATTTGATTGACGATTTTCATATTTAAAAAAATATTAACATTTATCTCATGTTTCAAGAATGATCAAAACGACAGTTATTAAAAAAATGAATGACCTCTGTTTCCAAATTCATCAAAGATATTTATGTAGGATGCAGAATGGGAACGAAAAAACTGCATTGACGTTTAGGTAATGTTTCCTGTTAAAGAATAGCAATGAAATACGTAACTCTTAACATTTATTTAACATATTATCAGCAACAAATCAAACATTTTTCAAAAACGCTGAAACATCAATTTTTTCAAAAAACAGCTCATTTTTTCGATTAAAAGTTGCACACAGTTCTATATTGTACTCTTCTGTAATATTCTTAAAGAATATTTCAATTGTTGAAATTAGGGGACCGCAAAATTAAGAAAATAAGATTTTGGCGCCGATAAGTAGAGCTTGGAAAATTGTGGGTAATATCAAAAAAGTAGCCTAAACTAAAGAAATTAGATAAGTAAGTAGTGCGAAAAAATCTGTGCCGTTGTGTAGTGCCACTAGTTTCTTATTGCATTGTCTTTCAGAGTCCCGGATCGTGAAGCAAGGTGAATGCTCTAACAAAGCCACTGCCCGGCCACCACGTCCGAGGCCGCCCGGCAAACCGAGGCCAAGTATCCGCACCCGAAATTGCGACTGCGTTTGCCTCGCGAATTATGCTCCCGTGTGTGCTGTTAACTCAAAAGGAGCCGAAAGGACTTTCTCTAATCGATGTAAACTAAAATGCGAAAACTGCAAAAACAATGAAGGTAACCTGTTACAGAAAAGTATCCTTTACTTGCCATTACCTAAAATAGGAGTCTGTGGTATCACTTGAGTTGCTCACATCCCTCTGTACTTTTAAAAATGTCTTAAACAAATCCTCCATACACTGTCACTCATTCAAAATTTTACACTTAAATTGTGTACTTTAAATGTAGATGAGTATAGTTTTTTGTAGTTTTTTTACATATAAACCTTTCTGAGAGCATTTTAATGGATTTGAAAATAATACACTTTAATGTGAAAAATGTTTTTATTTTAGGTTATGTTTCAGTGACAATGTATTTTCATGATTTTAATGAACTATTGAAATGCAGTAGTTTTAATGATGATACAAAGTACTTTACAGTGATATTGATTTAAACAGATTTGTCAGAATTTATAAAATATCACTTATACCGCTTTGGTTTTCACCCATTCGTATGCGATTTGAGTAAAATGTGTCTGTTGCTGTTCTTACTTTGATGGTGGTACCCGGGGTGTTATCACCGCACGTTTTTTTGAGCCCTCGTTTCGCTAGATGCGAGAGGGGCGGATGCGAGACGGACTTTGATTATTTTGACGACAGGACTACTGCAGCAAAACTTTAGCTCATTTTGGATACAAAATAGTTTCTATTACACGGGAACAAACATTTCTGGTAATGATAATGTGACAACAATACTCGTTGTCAACTTTTCTTTAATTGAACTGATGTCGGTGAAGGAGTGGAGTTACTTCTCCGGGGCTCAAGAAATCGTGCGCCTAACTAGTCCACGCGTCCGCCCCCATAGTGACGCCACTGACAATGAAAGCAGACCCCAGCAGATCCAATAACGCTCATTTTTGTCTGCAGATTACGTAGTGAGGAGGGACGGCGAATGCCAAAGCAATTCATCACGGAACCCGCCGCGCTCCAAGACTCGCACGGCTTGATGCACCCAGTCAATCAACCCATGTGTGTTCCATCATCTGAACCAAAAAGAAAACTCGTCTTTCTAGGAGAGAATGATTGTAATATTGATTTGTGATACAGCAATTGTATAGCTTTGCCTTTCATTAAAGAACGATTTACAAATGTTATTCTTCTACATGTGCCAATAAAGCATTTACTGTTCTAATATATTTTTATTGATTTTAATATAATTACCTATTTAAAAAGTATCTACTTTTTCGACTGTTATTAAATATGAAATACAATTCATAAAGTTCCCTTTCTAATAAGTTCCATCACGATTGGAGTTAAATTATCTGCAAATTGGTCTTTCTATTTTATCATTTTGGTGTGTTATTACAAGGTGGAATTTCGTTTTTCAGTTTACCGAAGAATAATCCAAAAATGGGTACAAACGTCGTACAAGATTATGATAAGGCAGAGGTAGTGTGTTATTCAATATTCCATAATCTTAGGAGGCATTAAATAATATTCTCTGAACACAATTTTTTTTTTTAATTAACGCAAGTTTGAATGGGAAAGTGAGAGTTTTATGTCCTAAACATTTTTAACTTTTTAAGTTCAGTTTCTTGAGGGGTACATTTAAAACTAAATATGACTAGGATACAAAAATATTCTGAGAGCATTCCTGAATCGTTTTAGACCGGTCGCATATCTAACACCACAGTGCTGAGTTACGGTGCTCGAGGCTCGTTGGATGACTTTGATCGGCGCCTGCACCTCCGATCTATTCACAGCAAATGCATCCACGAGGCTCCCCGCGCCATCTGGAGGTGACGGTGCAGGAGCTCAATAACCTATTATTAGGAATCAAAAGTGTTTGAGAGCTGCCCGGCGATCGCTGAGCCGTCCGTTTATCATCAGACGCTCCTCAGCCAGCTGACCCACATTTCAAACTGAGCAGCGGCGGCGGCGGCAGCATTAACGCATGCGCGAACGGCGGGCGGGCGGCGGAGTGGCCGGGGCAGGCCGGGGCCGGGTGGGGCGGGCGGCGGCGGCGGAAGATAAAAGGCCGTTAATGTTGTGAAGAGATCGCCCGCGCCGCGCAATGTGCTGACCAGACTGCAGCCATGCTTCACCAGTGCTGCCATTGGACCACTATTCCACTCAGGAGTTATTAGTAGGGGCGAATTTTGATGACCTGGTCATTTTGATGACCTAAAATAAAGACAAATTTCGGAAGTCATTCATCAAAACAGTTAAGACGAACAACTCAAGCTGTTCAATGTTATTGATGTAATCGAGGCTTCTCCTTTCGTTTAAGTGAAGTCAACTTGCAAACGTTTGATTTCGACTTGACCAGGAAATCTCTGTCATTAATTATCCCGAAATTGGCAGAATTGACAATAGGCGTCACAGGAACCTTAGATTACATACTCACATCGGCATTCATCGCAATTTCTGGAAGAAGAAATCGAATTAACAACTGAGTAAATCTTAAGAGAACATTTGTTGCACCTCGTAAACATTATTTGAAGAATGAACCATTAAAATGATATTAAAATCCTTTAAATCTGAATTTTTTTAACAAAATGACGGGGAAAGATACAAATTTACTTATTAGTAGAAAGCGACAAATCTGCAAAGTCATAAAAAAAATCAGGTTCGTCTGTCACAACAAAAAATTAATGTCTATACTAAAAGGCCTTGTCGTAAAGTGAAAAGACAAAATATGACATTTCATTAAAATCCACTCCCTATTTATTAGTTTCAATCCGACCAAAAGTGTTTTATACTAAGATGGTTGTAAATCGATCATGGACACCTAAAATCGCACATGCGCAACAAAAGTCCACATGCGTAGTTTTTGCTATCGTTTTACTGCACATAACTTACAACTGTTTTGGAAAATAAGTAAATATTCCTTCTATGACTATAAATTGTAGCAATCGGAACAGCGTGTGATACAGCTCACCAATAAAGGTTTCGCTATTTTTAATGAAATGTTACATACTACTTAATCGATTTTTGACCTTTATTAGTGAAATAGTCAAACCGAATTCCAATAGTGGATTGAAACGTTTGCGATAAGTCCGCTCGACATTATGCGATTCGCGAACTTATCAATAAGCTCCAAATTAGAGAAATAATTACTTACGATACGAAGTGTTTATTCTGATGACATTTTACAATATCATGAACACATGCATGATTAAAATTTCAACGTTAATTTACCGACAAATATACAGCGATCGTAAGTGTTTAAACTAAGGATCCACATAAGTCAGTTACTTAGGTAAATTGTACAGAGAAACATATTCAACTAGAAACATTTCTTCGTAGTTGTGGGTTGGTTAAATGATTTTCTTCATTGTTTAATTTAGAGAAGTTTTTTTAAATACAATTTTGATGCGTCACTACTTCATACTGACGGTTAACTGGCTCATGTTGCGCCTGGGAGTAATTTTGCGGTACCAAATCAGATAAATATGCTTCTGGCTGAAAATTCATAAGATTAGACACCAAATGCTGTGACCTAACCTTTCGTGCTTTCTCGTAAAAATGATAAGAGTTGCTGTAGATTTTACCTTCTGAACGGCGGTCTTTGACTCTTCAGATTATGATTAATCACGCGCACAACCATAATCAAAGGTAAGGTCCCACGGTGAAATAGTGGCAGAAGACGTAATGCAGCTTCCTGATTCTATTTTAAGAAATGCGAGGATCAATTAACGGCTCACCTTCGCCTGACGTTGATTGGAGAAACCACGGAAAACTACCGATCAGAACAAAGGACCGCTAGAGTTCTCCTTTTGATAGCGCATAAATTCCGACTTATAGAGTTCTTTGTGCTTCTCCCCAACATCGTCAAATATTTGGACAAAAATTCTGCAGGTCCCGCGCCAGCGAGAGAATTCCCAACTCGTGCTACTGAAAAGGCTATTTGCTCGCACGCATTTTTACGCAAAATGTACATGACCTTATTTCAAAATCTATACTTAAGAAACAGATTTTATCAGGGAAAAAATCTAACTTCATAATTGTAGATGAAAGAAGTCGCAGAAAAAAATTTGAATTTTTGAAAAATGACAGTTTTTAACATGAGACCTGCATCACCCTCTGAAACGTACTTCGCACTATGCACAAACAAAACTTAGTCAAAAACAGTGCAGCCATTTCTTTAGATTTTCAACGACTTCAGCCAGATCAATAGGGGAGCATCAATTTTGGAGAAAATCGGCTGAACTGTTTTTGGCGGTAGCGTTGTTCACAAACGATCAGACGAGTTTCCGTCAATCGAGTTTTCGTAATCAAGGACCCACAATACATCGACTGGCTACATCACGTGTTAGAGAGGGTTTTTTTTTTTTCGAAATTCAGCATCCGGATTTATCCATTTTTTTGTTGTCAGGGCCACGTAATAAGAGTTTTTCTGTCGAACGTTCGCCGTTTGTCCGCGTTGCATTGCATAACTTTCGCCACACTGCGGAAGCGGCAGCGAGGGCGCGAACTCGCGCAGGTGGCGCGCGGGCGAGGGAAGCCCCAGAGGCGGCGGCTGCAGCGCGCGCGGCGGCGGCGCCTCAAAGGCCGCACCGCCGGCGTCGCGACGCGACTCGACGCAATGCGACGCGTCGCCCCAGGAATAGACGCGCCCCGGGACTTCCTCCGGCGCGGCCAGCGGCGGCCAGCGGCGGCGGAAGCGGAAACAAAACCGCGCGCCGCGCTCTCCCAGGCGGACGCTCTGCTCGGCGTAACGTTCAACGTTTAGCGCTGTTCTCTAGTGGAGCCTAAGTTAGTGAAGCGCTCACGTCATCGCTGTTTCGCAAATACGAGATCGAATAACAATCAGTACCGGCGCATCCTTCAGCCAGCAGTGTTGACAAATTGTGCATTATAAATGAAATGCCCTCCGTACGTGGAAATTACATGCAGTACAGATATCTTTGAATGCTTGCTATTTGTCACTGACGAACAAATCAACTTAGTATATCTAATCTGCATAAAAAGAACAAATACCACTTTATTCTTTTGTTTTTTCTTCAAAGGTTGAAGTTTTAACAACCGTGTGTTAGCGGCCACGAACAGCAATAAACTCCTGCGTTTATTACAAATTTACGTAACAGCTTCGGTAATTTTGACACAGCGTTGATGTCTCAATCCGTCAGTTTCTGCACGTACAAGAATAGATAAATATGATTACAACACATCCTTAACGCACAATAAAATAATACACGTATTAATGAATAATGAAGATCAGAAATTCTTATTTCAAAATTCAAAAGCGCTCTTTCTTTAACGACGTCAACAGTGCACGTATTTAAACAGTAACGTCGGATTAACCACGACATATAAAACTGTTTTCACAGTAATTTGCCACTCGCTCATTGGACATT